CAGAGTAGCAGGCAGGTCTGTAGCTTCAAGGGGGCATTCAGGAGCAGCTATCCCAATGAAAATATGCAATGCTCCACCACAACCTCCAGTTTTCATTTTAAAAAAAGTCTTTAGCCCGTTTAATTGCAGTGAGAAGTAGTGGACTGCCGTGGCTGGATTATGTCAGAGCCAACTGAAGTTGAATCCATCCAAGACGGAGGTCCTGTACCTGAGTTGTGGGGGACAGGGAATCAGACTCCCAGCCTTCATTGGGGCTCCATTGGTCCCGACATTGGGGTTGAAGAGCCTGGGGGTGTTTTTAGATGCCTCCCTTTCTACAGAGGCCCATGTCACTGACAATGCCAGGTCTGCCTTCTTTCATTTGAGGCAGATCAGGCAGTTGGCTCCATGTCTCCCCCCCCCCCCAAGCCTTCCCTACAGGTATCCTGATCACTTTCAGACTGGATTATTGTAACTCTCTCTACATGAGGCTGCCTTTGACTCTTCTCTGGAAGTTGCAGCTAGTGCAGAATGTGGCCGCACGGGTGTTGATGGCAATGCCTGTGCAGACACACATCCACCCAGTGCTGCGTAACCTGTGCTGGCTGCCTACCAAATTCTGGATCTGTTTCAAGGTGCTGGTACTTACCTTTAAAGCCCTATACAGCCAGGGGCCAGCATACCTTTGAGATCACCTCTCCCCATATGAGCCCTGTAGAGCACTGAGGTCCACCAGCCAACATCTTTGATGGTCCCCATCCCCAGGGACATCCAACTCACCTCAATTGGGGCTGGAGCTTTCTCAGCCCTGGCCCCCGCCTGGTAGAATGAGTTCCTGTGTGAGATCAGGCCCCTCTGGGATTTATTACAATTCCCCAGGGCCTGCAAGACGGAGCTCTTCCACCGTGGTTGAGGCAGCAAGCATCCCTTTCCTTGAGTCGGCCCCCCCATCTGTAGCCTGGGTCCCAAGATCTTAAATTTTAAAGATCTCTAAAAAACTTTAAATCGTAAGACCATTGACCACTGAGGTATCTGGTGTTTATTAGAGTTGTATGGCACATACGAGTTATGTTATTTATTTTGGGTTTTAACGTGGTTTTAATTATATTTTATACTGTTGGAACCCACCCTGAACCCGTTAAGTAAAGGGTGGGATCTAAATCCAAATAAATAAATAATAGACTAATCCAGAATGTCTCAGTGTAAATATGCCTATATATGAGAATGAGAGAAGAAACAGTTTTACTTTCGTTGCTGGTCATTTGCCTAAGCTCTTCCAACACAGTCCAGGACAATTCTGGGCCTAGATTGACAGGAACCTGGAAAAGTCTGACTTAATTATTACCTTAAAGTCTTGTGCCCTGGATTTCCCAGTGTTGTGAAAAAATGAAACTAGAAGAAACAGGATTTGTGTTGCTCCATTACAAGGTAGTTTACCTCATTCTTTAATCTCCGCAGTAACAAGGAAGAACATCAAGCAGACATATGGAGTCAGATTTACACTGTTTGAAGGTTGACTTCTATTTTTGCAGTGGATCCTTTGCCTCAAGAATGAGGGTCCATGGAAGGTAATGCAGTACCTTTCTTAATCACTTTTCTATGTTAGGGGTTCCTGACCTCTGGAGTTCATACCTGTTGTTGTTCTTTTCTACTTTGGCAGGGTAAAGCTACTGTTTCTGTTTTGCCCATGCTCTGCATCCAGGGTATAATGATACCAGTCCAAGTCACAGGGCTATTTTAAGATAAATCTATCGAAGATGGCGGTCCTATGCCTGGGCTGTTGGGAGGGGAGTGAAATAGGGGATCCACCTCCCAGCCCCTGGTGGGGTCACATTGGCACCACTGCCAATGGTGAGGAGTTTAGGAGTGATCCTGGATGCCTAATTGTCATTGGAGACCCAGGTCATGAATGTTGCTATGTCAGCCTTTTATCATCTCCAGCTGATCAGGCAACTTGTCCCCTATGTCTCCTCCCATGAGCTAGCCACAGTGACCCATACAATGGTCACCTCAAGGTTGGATTACTGTAACTCTCTCTATGCAGGGCTGCCCTTAAATTTGACCCAGAAACTTCAGCTGGTTCAAAATGCAGTGGCACACCTTGTGACTGGGACACTCTCGTGGGCACATACCCAGCCAGTGCTTCACCAGCTGCATCGGCTTCCAGCTGAGTACTGGATCAAGTTCAAGGTTATGGTATTAAACTTCAAAGCTCTATGTGGTATGGTGCCAACATATCAGTAAGATCGGGTCTCCCAATACATCCCCTGATGAGCTCTATGCTCGCCTGAACAACACCTCCTAGTAATCCCTGGCCTGAAAGACATCCATTTGGCCTCAACCAGGGGCAGAGCCTTTTCCGATCTGGCTGGTGGAATGCTGTTTCTAGTGAGATCAGGGCCCTGCAGGACTTATTACAGTTTCATAGGGCCTGTGAGATGAAGTTGTTCTGCCAGGCCTTTGGCTGAGGCCACAGGTGTCAAACTACATTGGTCTCCTCTGCCCAAATCCACATCATCTGTTTTGCACTGTGCATTCTATTAAGTTGCCCCATCACTAGATCCTGCAGTCTTAGCCAACTACTACCCAGTTTTGAATTTACAGTTTCTGGGGAAGGTAGCTGAGAGGGTGGTGGCTGAGCAGCTTCAGGCCTTCTTGGATGATGCTTCCATCCTCGATGCATTCCAGTCTGGTTTCCACCATGACCATGAATCAGAGATGGTGTTGGATGCCCTTACAGATGGGATGGAGATAGTTTTGGCCTCACCAACATACGAGTTTGGGGGACTGCCTTATTGTGATTTTCCTCTTTTCTCCATGGGTGGGGACAATCAGTATTAGGGTGTAAAATCTGTCACACGTCTATCAAGTGTAAATTTTCTAGTAAAAAAGGAGAAAGTTTAGGTAAACAGTAGGAATCCTATCATAAATCTTCCAAGGGTGAATTCTCTATACAATTGGCTAGAACAGATTTAGCCGTTAGCAGGAAAGGTGGCAGTGAAATCGTGTTGGAGTAAACAGAGAGTGAGTTTAAGGAATGAAGGGATAAGAAAGGTGTTGTAGCAGGCTCAGAAGTAAAGAAAAAGACAGAGAGAGGAACAGGACAGTGTCTCACAATAGTCCTATAGAACTCTTATTGCTGAGGAAATTATTTTTTGACAGGAGACACATAATAAGGAATTTAGGTCCAGAGGAAAGTGAGCACAAATCTTTTTTGGCTAATATATGCTAACCCAGAGGAATCTTATTCACAGAAGGGAGGGTTGTGGTGTTTTGTGTTTGCTCTGAAGGATCCCACCTGTGTGCACCTCAAAGATCATGCCACTATTCTTGAGCCTATTTTCATTCACTTAGAAAAAAAAAAATCCTACTCACAGGCTGATTTCGCACTACAGCTGCCTCGATGTTGCGCCGCCGTTTGCCCCGATACTACTGGCCGATTTCACACCCAAAGCTGCGGGACTGCATTTTGACTCACGGCTTCACCCGATTTCCTCCACGGTTTTGTGATCCTGTTTTTTGAGGATCACGAAACTGCAGTCTGATCCTGTGCACTTTATTTATTTTATTTACTTTATATAGGATCTACCTCTCTCACTTAGACTCAAAATGGGTTACACACAACGGGTTAAGTGATCTCACTGAGACTCAAAATGAGTTACACACAACGGGTTAAGTCAGTGCAATAATTCACATGAGACATCTAATAAACAATGCAATAACTCTAGGATTACATCAATTTGAAACAGAGCAAAAATAATTACACTTCGTATGTTAAACAATGCACAAAATATTATTACAAAAGTAGAAAGTAACCTAACCCTAACCCCCAATACAAACCAAGCTCAACCCTGGGTTCATAGAAGAACGAGACTCACATGTGCACACTTCTTCACATACATTGAAACAGATTTCCTTAAATATCACATGCAGGTAGGGAGGGTTAGTTGTCAGGAAGTGATGATTAGAGTCAAGATGCATAAGTAACTGAGCAATAAATACAGCAAGATTGGAATAGCAATATGGTAGGACATGTAAATAGCAGTTCTCTACATAGGACAAAGGATAAATGGACACAAATCTGACATCAAGAAGCACAAAACTGAGAAAACTGTAGGAGAACTTCTGCTGCAAAAGAGAGTGCTTGGTTTGGCAACTATATCAATTCAACATGCCAAAGCATCAGCACTTGACCTGAAGGAATTGGTGACGACATTTGAAAAGGAAAAGGCACGCAAAATGAGATTTTGATGCGCTTGAAATGGGAACATTCAAGAGACTTAAATTTCAACATCACAATTCATAGGATTATTCAAAATGATTTGTGATTCGTGTGCTTTAACTGTTTCCTGTTTGAGAAAGAAAACAAAAGATTGTCTTACTTATTTTCACATTTTAAAAAATAATTTCAAGTTTTGTGCTTTTCATTTTTCCTACAATTCATCTCAAACACAATTTTTTTGGCTGTAAAAATATTTTAAGAGTTCAACAAATTCAATTGCAAACTTGCATAATAGAGTTTAATTTCTACCACAATAGCTTGGAAACAAATACAGTAGTTTTCTTATGGAACACTTTCAATGACATTCAAATTGTCTTGGAGATTACAGCAATTACAAATAATATTTAAATGGTGCTGTCATGGTTCAAAGCTCTTCACCTTATCATGTTAAATTCTTACAGTTGGTCAGTATTATTATTTCAAAGGGAGGACCAAGACTGCTAAAGATTCCTTTCCTAATATCCCTTAGAATACATATATATTTAAACTATTACTTTCCTAAGGACCCATGGTGAGTTGGAAGCTAAGATTTGATATCCAGATCATACCACTTCCACCTCACTGGTACATCACATCAGCTCACAGCTCTCTGCTACTTATGCAGACAGATATTTCAACAGATAGCAGAACCATTTCATTTCATTCATTGCAATCACTTGTTTCACTTCACCCCTCTTTCCTATCCATATCCCAGCTTTAAATTATTTTTTGAGTAGTTTGCATGCCTAATGAAAATTACCTTTACAGCATCTTTCACCTGCTGGTTCCTCAAAGTGAAAATGAATGGGCTTAGCAAAGGGGTCAGGACTGTATTGATCAAAGAAACCATCTTATTGACAGAAGGGTTGCTTCCTGAAGGTCGTACGTACATGAAGATGCAGCTGCCGTATCCAAGGCTGACAATGATGAAATGTGAGGAGCAGGTGGAGAAAGCCTTGTAGCGTCCTGACGCAGATGGAATCTTGAGAATGGTTCTGACTATGTAGGTGTAGGACATCACTGTGAAAATGAAAGATCCCAACAGAACGGTTGTGGAGGAGAAGAAGCTCACCAACTCCACCACACTGGTGTCAGTGCATGCTAGCTTCATCAAGGCCACACTGTCACAGAAAAAGTGGTCAATACTGTTGGCGTGGCAGAATGGTAGTTGTAAAACCAGGATGGTGGGGATTATTGTAGCTAAAAAGCCAGCAGCACAAGATCCCACTACTAGCCACAGGCAAAGCTGAGTACTCATAACTGCTGAATAGTGCAGTGGGTTGCAAATGGCCATGTACCGGTCAAATGCCATGACAGCCAACAGGGCAAAGTCACTGCTTCCCAAAAAGAAGAAGAAATAGCACTGGGCAATGCAAGCTGGGTACGAGATGGTTTTGTAGCCTAATAAGAGGCTCACCAGTACCTTAGGCACTATTGAAGTTGTAATGAGGATCTCTAAGCAAGAAAGGTTCCACAGGAAGAAGTACATGGGAGTGTGTAGGTGATGGCTGTGAATGACAACAATGATGATCATGGTGTTCCCTGCTAAGGTGAGCAGATAGGAAGCAAGAAGGAAAATACCCAGGAGGCGCTCCTGCTGCTGAAATTGAGGAAAATCAAGTAGGATGAATTCTGTAATAAAAGACTGGTTTTCCATCATTGCTCCAGAGATTTCTGCAATGATATGGTGAAAATAATCCATAGTATGTCAAGAAGTTTTTTAAAATGTTAATAGAGAATACTGTCCATTTGGTTGTTAAAGAACCATTTTTTTCAAGGGAATGCCTTGCTCTTTTAGAAAGTTCACTTCTCCTATTACACCCTCTTGCCTTCTTGGGAAAAAAAGTGAAGGAGGAGGAGGAGGAGGACAGAATAGAATATGCAAACAGAATGCTAGAGTATACCTACAGAGAACAGGAAGGGACTAGTGCAAAGAAGGCATCATGATATTTATGTCCAACAGTTCACAGAGTAAAAATGGGGATAATTTTGTGCACAAGAACACCCAGATTCTCACATGCCTGCCCCCTTTACCCTTAATCTTGTAAACAGAATGGGGACAGTTGGTGTATATGGAAAAGACATTAGGACAATAGAATATAGATGACATGCATGCATGGCAGTCAGTCAAGTACTTTAGTTCACATGCAGGGGGAGTGAACTACACTTCAGCAGCATTGAAACAGAAGTCATGGTGATCTCTGGCGACTCCTACTGGAGCATGGATGACATTCAGTGAAGTGGCTTGATAGCTTGCCTCTGCCTTCCAGCCCTGGTATTCTTTTGAGATATCCCATCTAAATACTTGTCAGGATTGGCCCTGCTTAGCTTCTGGGATCTGATGAGATCGGGCTTGCCTGGGTGACCCAGGTCTGGGCATCTTCTATTGATTTCTGATGGACTAAAGCAGGATGGAATTTCCTTATGAGCTTTTGGATTATGAGGGAGAAAGAGAGGGGAAGATTTTTTTTGGTAGGGCTATTCAAGTTAGGGAACCCCATGCTCTATCCAACAATTGTTACTACAACAAAAATGACAGAACCAGATTTGTTCCTCTAATTCTTTGAAATTGACACCACACCATCATTTAAAATAATCTATTTGAGAAGATGCAAATTGTTCTTTTTTTTAATGATAAAATGCAATCTGTGACGTACACAAATTATGCTGTGATCTGGTACCTCTATGATGGATGCAGATCTTTGGCTGAGTATTTCGTATAATTCCAGTCCTCATCTTCCATCAAAATATCTTCAACTGCAACAAAGCTGTCTCTTCTTAATTATTCTAAACTTGAATTGATTTTGATCTCGCCTGGTCTTCTGAAAGACTGCAGAGGCAAATTGTATCCTTGTGGTGGATTTTATAGAATGTGAAAATGTTTCATAGAGCCATTCTTATGAGACTGCCATCATCACTTCAGGGACTAAATTAAGCATGGAGCAATAAAAAATAGTCCAATAAGACATGCTTTTGTTCTGTTTGAAGCAGAGGATTGTATCTTAAGGTTCAGATCTAGTCATCTATCTCACTCAGTTGTGCCCAGTTCCCTTTCATATGACCTTACAGTGGTCAAGGAAGACCCTCTCCTCTCTTTATCACCAACAGTAAAACTGGTTGGATCCAGCTCATTTTGGCTTCATGCAGGGCTAGATGGACTGTCCAGTGGTACTAAGGTCCCACCACTGGGGAGGGAAGAGGTGTACACTGTTACCCAAATGGCCTACACATGTATAACCCTCAATATTTGGAGCATCCACTTGCATGTCAAGCATACACACGTACACCACTGGGCAAATTCTATTTTGGAAACACCATCTAGTATATAACAGACACATATAGGCCACATAGCAAAAAACATAGTGACAAGAGCCATAAACTTTAGCAAGTTTCTTAGGATTATACCAGAGATGGATCACTTTAAAAATATTCTCCCTTGATTGAGTCCATATTGAAAAGCTGAAACCATGTGAAAGAACATAATTGCAAGTTTGTTCCACGCCTAAATGGCTAAGAGTTTTACTTCATTTTTTAAATATGAGTCACTACCTTTGCTTAGATTTAATAACAGATTACAGATCTTGGATGAAAGAACTTTTCCTCCATGTGTTAATATTTGCTTAAACTGAGAGTAATTTCTAAAGTTTAACCTTCTTATAATCTTGTTATACAGAAAGCGTCTAAACTGAATGTATTCTGAAGGTCTCATTTGACCATTCATCTCATGGACAATATTATTAGCCATTAATGAGGTGTAGAAATCATAACCTACTTCTTCCAATTTTAATAAAGAGTCAAATTGATATCTCTGTAATATATGACAGAGTTTGTCCTTGCTCTCTAAAAGATGTAGAATCCACTACACACACCATACTTCATTGCTCCCTCTATAGGGATATCCGATCTTGTTTTATTACTCCATTTCTAGAGGGTAAGAGCTGGCACTCTGATGACTCAATTGTTTACTTTCTTCTGTTTAATTCTAATTGTGAAATAATGGAGGCTGTTGCAAAATTTTTATATTATGCAATCAGAAGATGAGGCTTGAATAGCCAAGTGTGACTGGTGCATCTTAGTATTTTCCCGTATTTCCATTATGTTTTGTGCTTTCATACCAAGAAAGGTTTTGTATGTGTGTGTGTGATATCTCTGTAATCTATCCAAATTGCTAACTGTGGAAGCTAAAGGCAAGGCCTGAGAGAATAAGTTTTTACTATAATGGTTATTGTATTTATATACTCTCTAAGAGGTTATCATATTTATATACTCTGTAAGTTTCTTGTTTTGGAATTCAGAGAAATGATGTTAAAGGCATCTTCCTGCTCAGCTGCATGTTGAACAGGCAACATATGCTTGTTGCCAGGCTAGGCCCGAGAAATCTTTCCTGAAGGGCCAGAACATCCCTGGAAAGGGCCCCTCCACAGCCTTTTTGTAAATCAAGGCATTTAGGCTGGAGATACTGTTGTGGTGTCCTGGTAACAGCTACTAGAGCATTTGATTCTTAAAGCTACAGGCTTTGCTTCTATTATTTTGTTGTTGTTGTTTTATCATAACATACAACAAAACATGCAACCATTACATTAACAAAACTAGGCATTTAACCCATTTTCTTTTTTATTTTAGATTTCAGATTTTTCTGAAAACCTGGAGCTATTCTCAGGTTTGTAGAAAGATCAGTCTTGTCTGGTCATGGCTACAATCATCACACATAAATATCTATAGGTGGGGCCATGTTGAGGATTTGCTAAATTAACTAATGGAAGACCTGCTCAATTTCCCCTCCACCACTATTTCCTCTTTCCCTTCCCCAAAAGCCCAAAGTCCCTTTTCCTATTTTTTTCTCTCCTTCCCATCCAGCAAAAAACTTACCATTATCCCCTCCCACTGTCTTCAGTTTTTCTTCCTTCCCTGTCTCTGAGAACAGTCTGGCTGCATTGCATAATGCCATCCACAGGGCTGAGCCCTGTAGCATGGCAAGGAACCCTCAAGGACTTACGAAGGTCTCCTGATTCCCCCCCCCCATATCACCTTCCCCATACTGTTCCTCATTCCCTCCTCCTGGTAACCCCCATATCCTCATCTTTCTCTGCTTCCTTTGCTCCTTCCCAATGACCAACCAACCTAATTTTTATCTGCCCCCCTATTTCCTCATGTGCAAGGCAGGGCAGGTGAGATCCACAGCCCTTGTCTCATGAGAGGCTTGTGCAGGCTTGGTGCTCCTTTCCCGTGTCACATAGAGCTCTGGTGGGCCTAGCTAGGTACTGCTTCCCTAGCCTAACCTGGCCTAGTCACCTCATATAGGCCAAGTCCATTGCTCCCTACCTTATCTTGCTTGGAGCTTGGTGGGCTAAGCCAGGTGCTGCCACCTCCCTCAATGAGGGCTTAAGTGAGCTGGGTCAGTCACTGACATTGTTTCCTTCCTTGCCTCATTCAAGCCAATCCACCCACGTCTGTGAGATAAATAAGGCTGAGAATGTGTAACTGACCCAGGACACCCTGTGTGTTTCCACTGTAAAATGGGGATTTGAGGTACTAGTCTGAAATTCTAACCATTACACCACACTGGCTATCATAAGTTGGTCAGTGCTGAAGAGTAGCAAGCAGCAAGGCCTGGGTGAGTCATGCAAGTTGGGTGGTAGCAGGGTGGGAGCAGATAAAAATTAGGTTGGTTGCTGCCAGGCCTGATCCTAACAAGTCCTCTATCAAAGGCCAAAACAGCCCTGTAGAGGGCCCCACCTCCTTCCTTTTACAGAAACCAAGGCTAGAAAGCTGACAGTACTGCTGTGGTTGTCTAGCAACAGGTGTTTCAGTTATTCCTTTTATCATTCTGGATTTTTAAAAACCCCTCAATATATTTTATATTAGATTGCAGATTTTTCTGAAAACCTCAGGCATTTTGTCTGTTTTTGGTTCCCGTCTCTAGAGTTCAGTAACCTCAGCTTTATCTGGATTAAGAATTAGATATATTGATGATTAATGCTGTCATATTAAAGAGATTGAACGTTATAGAAAATGATGTTCATGAGACTGTAGTTTATTTTCAGTGAAGCATGAACTAAGCAGGGAAAACAGAATGACAGCATATGAATATTTCATCCAGTGTAGTACTGTGCTATGAGATTCTCAGTCATATAGGTGCACATTCATTTATTCAATCAGTCATTCAGATATGGTGCATTGGCCTGAGCAAGGGGGGGGGAGTATTTGTAGCTTAAAGTCTGATGGATTGGTTCCAAAATCATAACATATTGTAAGAAGCCATGTATCACAGGAAATACATAATTCTGAACATTCAAAGAATGGTAACAATAGAAATTGAGCAAAAAAATATTTAGCACGTTAACTCAAAATCATGTTCTGTATGTTGCTTTCCTGATTAACTGTTCCCTGGCATTCAGACCTGGTTTCAGAATTATAATGTAGCATTTAGGTAAAAAGATGAAACCTAGTAAGCCTGTGGTGGAGACCAAGATGGAGAAGATCTCCACAGCTACCATGTATTTTCCTTTGGTGCTCAGGTAGGCTGGCACGAAAGACACCCAGACACTACAAAAGATCATCATGCTGAAGGTGATGTATTTAGCTTCATTAAAAGTATCAGGTAGTTTTCTAGCAAGAAAAGCCACAATAAAACTGACCAGGGCTAACAGACCCATA